TCCCCCCCCCCCCCCCGAACATGAAAACCACCTCCCAGATTGACCAGGGTGCCTAGTGCCTGCAATGTGTGTGTGACCTTCTGCTGAACCTGCCCCCGTGTCTGTACCCTGGTAAAGGTGACTGTCCTCTCCAATTACCAACCCCCTTCCCCCCCTTCAAACACACTCTCCCCTAAAAGAACATGATGGAAACAGTAATTAACAGAAACGTATCTTTTATTAGCAACTACACAGTTAGGGGATGAAACTGGGACGGGGGCTAGGGTGAGGCAGGAAGGAAAGGACACAGTTAGGGGATGAAACTGGGACGGGCGCTTGGGTGAGGCGGGAAGGAAAGGACTTATCAAATTTTTGGGAATGAGAGCCTTCTGGTAATTGAGCAGTCTGCAGGGGTGGAGTCTATCTCTAACCACCTTCCCCCGCCACAAACTCCCATACCCCCCCTCACCCAAAGTCCCAAGAAGGAGGGGGGCAGGGACCATGAAAACTGTCACTCCACCCCTGCAGACTGCTCAAGTACCAGAAAGGAGGGCGTTTAGAGATCTTATGCAGCGGTCCTTATCCTGGATCACAGAGCCACGCAGCAGGGGATCTGTAACCGTCCTCCCCCGCCACAAAGTCACATAGCCCTCACACAGAGTCCCGAAAAGCGCCTAGGACAAACTAATCATGATAAACCGGACATTGTTAGATTCTTTTGCAGTAGTTGCACTACCAAGGACTAAAACGTTAAGCGCCTAGGGCAAACACATCATGAAAAACCCATTGTTAATATTCCTGTTCTGTTCAAAATAAATGTTTACATATTTAAAACACTTACCGACTGATCCTTCCCCTGATTCAGGGTCTGGGTTAACGCCTGGGGACAGTTGGTAGGGGATCTCTGTGAGGGTGATGAAGAGATCCTGCCTGTCTGGGAAATCAGCGTTGTAAGCGCTGTCGACTGCCTCGTCCTCCTCCTCACCTTCCTCATTTTCCCCGTCCGCTAACATCTCCGAAGAAGTGGCCGTCGACAATATCCCATCCTCAGAGTCCACGGTCAGTGGTGGGGTAGTGGTGGCGGCCGCACCTAGAATGGAATGCAGTGCCTCGTAGAAACTGCATGTCTGGGGCTGGGATCCAGAGCGTCCGTTTGACTCTTTGGTCTTCTGGTACGCTTGTCTCAGCTCCTTGATTTTCACGCGGCACTGCGTTGCATCCCGGCTGTATCCTCTCTCTGTCATGGCTTTGGAGATCTTCTCGTAGATCTTTGCATTATGTCTTTTCAATCGCAGCTCCGAAAGCACGGACTCATCGCCCCACACAGCAATCAGATCCAAGACTTCCCGATCAGTCCATGCTGGGGCCCTCTTTCTATTCTGAGATTGCACGGTCACCTCTGCTGGAAAACTCTGCATCGTTGCCAGTGCTGCTGAGCTCTCCAAGATGTCCAAACAGGAAATGAGATTCAAACTGCCCAGACAGGAAAAGGAATTCAAATTTTCCCGGGGCTTTTCCTGTGTGGCTAGTCAGAGCATCTGAGCTCGGACTGCTGTCCAGAGCGTCAACAGAATGGTGCACTGTGGGATAGCTCCCGGAGCTATTAGCGTCGATTTCCATCCACACCTACTCTAATTCGACATGGCCATGTCGAATTTAGCACTACTCCCCTCGTTGGGGAGGAGTACAGAAATCGAATTTAAGAGACCTCTATGTCGAACTGAATAGCTTCGTTGTGTGGACGGGTGCAGGGTTAATTCGATTTAACGCTGCTAAATTCGACATAACCTGCTAGTGTAGACCAGGCCTAAGACTGAGTTGTTGCAATCCGTCAACAAAGCTGCCCATACAGCAGTGCTTAGAGAATGTTAATGATACTTAATGACAGCTTGACAGCATCATAAAAGGTGGCGCAGTTTTATCATTATTCACTGACTAAAACCTACTGAACCCATTGAATTTGGACTAGAAAAACTGGTTCAATATTCACTTCTGAAGTTATGGTCTGTTTTTAAATACTGAATTGAATTTGATGCCAAAGAAAGGAGGGTTTCCTCTATAGAATGCTAGAGGCATGCATTGTGCAGGCAGAAGCTGGGTAAGTGTTACTTCAAACTTCTCACTGCACCTCAGTCTTGACCCTACAGAATTACTACTATCCCAATTTGAGATTCTCTAAAGCAGAAGCTGCTAATCATTAGCAAGGAGAGAGATTTACAACTGAATGAAATGTCACATCTCTACATGTTTAACATGCCAGGATTGTACCCACAGCTGGCAAACTGTCTCCTGGGATTTTACCAAGGTTATAAATAAAATAAAAATAATATAAGTCTCTTTGGAAAGTCTGACACATGTAGAAGTTTTGTTATTAAGAAGACTATCTATGCAAAAATGAGCACCTTGCTGCCAATACACTTGTTTGCCTATACTACCAACTACTTGTTGAGAGCTAGGGAAAGAAGATTCGTTTTTAAAAGAAAATGTGTTTAGTCTGACTATAATGGCTGTGACACCCCTACAGGTGTCTGCCTGCCCATTTAGCTATCATACACTGAGTCCACCCTTCACTGGTCTTGGAGATTCCTGTCAGTCTGGGGGACAGCAACACTGTGCACAACAGAGAAGTGGGATAGGTAGACCCTTGCTGGCAAGGGTAATGGTAGAAACTAAAAGCCCCTTTAGAAAAATATATAAATGATAGCCCTTCAAGATCCTAAGGAGGCATAAAAGATTGAGTTGTGTAAGCTGATACAGTATCACTTTGATGTACTTTCCATTCCCATCTTCTCTGCTACGCTTCTTTTCACAGGGAACGAGAAAAGCCACTACAACTGCTGGTTCAAACATTCAACCAGTGTCCAGTTTCTAAAAAAAATACACCTCTACCCCGATATAACGCTGTCCCCGGGAGCCAAAAAATCTTACCGTGTTACAGGTGAAACCGCGTTATATCGAACTTGCTTTGATCCGCCGGTGCGCGCAGCCCCGCCCCCCTGGAGTGCTGGTTTACCGCGTTATATCCGAATTCACGTTATATCGAGGTAGAGGTGTATAAGCAGCTGAGATGGCAAAGAACCAGCCTGGTTTGCCAACGGTGTGTTGTTTAGGGATCTAGATAAGCAGGAATTAAATGGACCATGGCTTGGATTCAGCCTTTATGTACCAGTATGGGGAAGCCTTTTTATTTTCGGTCTCCAGAATTGAAACTCTCTATATATTAGTTGTTACAGTTGCTGAGATAGCGTCAAAAAATATGAACCAAGTGTTATGAACCAAGGGTTCCTTTGCAGAACCGGAAACAATTGTTCTAAGGGGTGCAGGCTGTCCCATTCATCTGAATGGAGACTAACTCAGATAGCTAATGATGCTGACATTTCAAGTATTAACTATTTCACTGCTCAAAGCACATAAGAAAGGAGAGAGAAGATCATATTATTAATTTCTGCACAATTTACTGTGACCGCTCATTTTGACAATGTGAGTGGGAAGGCTTGGGATTTGCCACATCTTTCTCCCAACCACTCCAATCAATAAAGAATTATACCCAGTAGGAGCCCAACAGAGCCAAGCAGGGCATCTGAGGCCTCACAAAAGGGGGATTAAATTCAAGATGCCAAGCTGGGCCCCAAAGACTCACTAAGGGGAAGTCAAGCAGGGGATGCCTAGTAGAACCCCTGGGTGGGTTTAGACTGCAATGATGGGAAGTCAAGAGAGGATGCATGATGATATTTTGAATGTCTGCTCTGAGGAACATTGTGTGGGGTACTTTAACCAACAGCAACAGCTTCCATTGTAACTTTTACACTAGAAAAGCAAAGACTTGAGAAAATGAAAACATATTTTAAATGAGATTTTTTTAAATAAGAATATTATTGATACCTAGCTCTCAAACAGTGCTTTCTTCCTGTAAAGCTCAAAGTCTATGAGTCCTGTTTTACAGGTGAGGAAAACAGGCACAGAAAGGTTAAGTGATATGACCAAGTTCAGGCACAATTAATGGTAAAGCAGAAAACAGAGCATAGGTTCTCTCACTTCCAGTCTGCTGTCACATCCAATAGACAGAAGGCGTCCCTTTCTTTGTGCATGAGCAAGTGTTCATGAAAACTCATGTGTATACAATTAGCACAGATGTATGTGCATTCTGAGTAAATATACATCTAAAGGTGCTTGATGTGTATGTTGATAGCTCAATTTATATACTCAAAAATGACAATTATAGGGGCAATGGGGCACATGTGAAAAATCTGTATGTACATATGTAAAATCATATGCCCGTAAGATGTAATGTTTATTTCATGCCACATTCTATGCATAATAATAATGCTATCGAGCAAATTTTTAAACAGACACAGAGTCTCACCTTCTCATGGTTTTCTATAAGGATTTCCACCACGATATTCTGAAACTTTAGATCCATAATAGCTGCCACAGTTTCTTCCTGTGGCCTCATTAAGGTTGGTCCAAATACTACTCCTAAATTTGCTACAGTCATTAGATTTTTCTTGGCATGGTCTGCAACGCTTTTTCAAAAGAATTGGAAGAAAAAAAACAGGAAACAAGTTATGAAAAATTGCCAATACTCTTGGAAACTGAAGTATACTTTACAAATGAAAACATTACATTTCCCTAATCCATATTTTAGAAGTTTATTTTGTACAAAGTTTCTTCAAATAAAACCATGTTGAATTTTGGAAAGTAGGAAACCCATTCTTCCATCTGCATTTTAAGAAGAAACAAAAGTCGTCATTTATTGAACTTAAATGTGTACAATGCACTTAGCCTTGGACTTTGGTAAGTGTGAAACCAACTTAATTTTGCTAACAAACCTCTAGTATTCTCTTTGCCAGAATTTGCAAAGAGAAAGTATAAATTCACTTTCTCACTTCAATCAAGCCCTCAATTGCTTGCAGAATTGCTAAGTAAATACTTATATGACTTCATTAACAGATTAGATTTCTGCCCTCTTTTCCAAAACACACATAGCACGAGTCAAACTTCTCATCTTCTTCCATAGGTTTGGTGCCTGATACTGTGTCTAATACCATCACAACCAGCCTTGGTGCCAACCACAGTCAATGTGCCCAATTGTAGATAAAATAGAAAAAAAAATTGAGGGGGGGGGAGGGAAGAAGGGGGAGAACTCTCTGAAAACTAATAAAAGAAGCCATGGTGCTTACTTTGCTAAATGTTTCACCAAAATGTCCAGCATCTCTTTGTTCTTCTCTGGAAGTTTATGAACCAAGAAGTGGATAGCGTTAACTCTGGTCTCAGGGCTGCCACTTTCTACATAACAGAAACAAGTAACTGTATCTCAAAGATAGAAATCCTGCCCCACCCATACACACCAACCCCAAAACAAAACATTCCTAGCATACTTTGGTTTTGCACTTGTATATCTCCAAATAGAGCAGAACTCAATACATGCACGTTGTGTTCCAAGTCGTCCTGTTCTAGTACTATCTGCCCATTTCTTATTTTGTGAAGTGATTTTCAATTCACTTGTAAATGGATGCCTCTTTCTGCTCATCTATATTTTTTAAAAAAAGATGCAGATATTCTACTGCATCACACACATGCTTAGAAAAATACTGCAAAGCAAGGGGTTATATTACTAGCTACAGCATCTCATTGTGAAAACCAAGTGTGAAAGGATGCTTCTTTATCCTTTTGACATAGCTTATTAATTATCCTTATCATTTACATTGAGTTTTGTTTGTGCTAGACAGCTGTTGACACTGCTTCAAAATACCTTGCATTAGAAACTACACCGGAAAATAACATTCAGAGAGGACTAAAGGGTTCAGGAGAGAAAAACGAACACTTTTTAAAGATGTAGGCCAATAACCCTGATAAGGCTGCAGAGTTAGATTACCAGGATAAAGGATTCTTGATATCAACTACATCTCTCACTGTTGGCAGTGGTGTAATTGGTAGCACAGCTGGGTGTAAAGATGCAATGGCTTCCTTGTACATAGCAAACAAACAATTTAGGCCACACAAGGGCTTAAATAGCTGAAAAAGATTAGTAAGATGTGAAAAAAATAAATCAGTCTTTTTTTATTTTACATTATTGTTTCTCTTAATAGAACTAAATCTGAAGAATGGATTGTAGTAAGATGTGTGTAAGACCGTATCATTTTGTAAGTTAGTACTGAAGGCAAGGTACATAACAGAAAACCATTATGGGCATTAGGACATACAGTGAACCTGAGAAGTTCTGAAACCACTACTACTACTCTGACTGCACTATCCTAAATTTATTCCAGACATCAGGTATTTACTGTAAAAAAAAACATGCCATTTTTGCTAGGTGTTTCTTTTAATAGATTTGGAAACATTTTTGGTAGAGAACATTCTTGGTGGAACTTCACTGAGGAAAATGCCACCAGCAAGCCAACAGTTTTACTTCTGGTCAGCCAAATTCAGAGAGCCCCAAAAAACAATCCAACTCTCTTCAAAGTAAAAGTCCTTCAGAGTACTGTAGAATCCTGAATGCCAGATGAAGTGACGCTTCATCAAATGAATTATGTGTCACTGTCAAGGGCTACTGATTGCCCCAAACAATACTTGTTAAGAAAATGGGGTGGACTGCATTCTGCTGCAATTTAATACTGCCCATTTCTTATTATCTACTACAATTTTATACCTTAGGTTAGAAAGATACTTAGAAGTTTTTTTTTTTTAAATGGAATGGCTGAATTTAATGTAGTGTTGTTCAAGTTTCTTCTCCTTGCTTGACAAGTTTAGCCATTGCACACATGGGCTTATGCAATTTTTTAGTACTTGTGGATATTGTATTCTTAAGACCAGTAAACAAACATCTTCCAGTAGACCTAATAAAATTGGGGTGGGGGGAAAGAAATATAGAAAACTTAAACTGTTATTTCCTTTGGGGAAGGGAATGTTTTAAATCCTATCGCATGTAACTCTGTATGTATTCATTATTTATGTAAATGTCTTGAATTCTACTAAGCTCTTCACCTCAATTACACTGTATGGCTCTGAATTTCAAGGCTAACTATGCAATAAGGTTAGAAAATATTTCCTCTTTGTTGTCACTTGTGAATTCTGCGAAAAAACATCTATCTAGTTTTATCAAATCCAATCACCACAATGATGGTGTAAGCAAGTATATACATGCACACACACACACCCCTACCTAAACCCGCTCAGTACAGTTTTATTTCTTTTTTGAAATATGAAAATACTCTAGCAAGGATTAGAAACTAGCATTCTGCTGTTTTTTCCAGTCTTTAATACTAGTCAAAAAGATAAAGTAAAATTTTGAGGACAATTGTTTTTAACTTCAATTCTCATGGATTGCCAGAAGTGCCACAGGCTGGAAAGCAAATCAGCTAAATATTTGTTGGCTATTCTGTCAACATTTTTTCTTATGCAATTTCTACTCCTCAGACAATTTACATTAGAAATCATGCAGCTGAACTACAACTCCTGCTCTACCTTCTCTAAATCTTTACTTTAACTGCCACAGTTTAATTTGGCCTGTACATTCCTTTCTTCTAGTAATATTTGAGGCACCTTTAGGCCAGCTTGGATACAAGCCTCCCAGGGAGATGGCTCTGAAAACAAGGATCAGGTGGCAGTCATTTTTATGATCCAAGGGAGCTTGTCTCCCCCCTCCCCCAGCATACTGTATCCTACTAAATTTCATTTCTTTATAAACGGCTTAAGGAGATGAAAATATTACCGTCCCAAACTACTGCAAGAAAATTGGGTATATAATATTCACTATGGTATAACTGGTATAGGAAATAAATCTAGAACTTTAAAATTCTAACTAAAAAATTCATATAATCAAAACAGAGTGAAATGTACTAAGCCAAGCAAAAACTTGCCCCATGGAGTCTATCAATATACAATGCATTTATGTATCTATGAACATACATATGCTTATACATATACAGATCTCTATATATATTGCATTGACGGCATACCCCTATTTAACTTCATATTAACATACCCAACTTTCTTTTTTAAAAGGTTCCAATTTTTTCCTATACCTCTGCTATTTATTCAGTTGAAATGAGCAATTTATCTGAGACTACATTTTCAATGTCTGCTCCTCAGTGCTGAAACAGTGCTATTATAAAATAGTTCTATTTGAACTGTAGTCAAATATTTACTGGCAGGAATGATGAACTCTCTGTGCAACTCATACGTCATTAGGGGCTCTGGAAGACTTCTGGAAGACAAAGACGACATGGAATCACTAAATACAGTAAGCGCCTGTACATTTGTTTCTATTCGCATTTATTCCGAGCAGGAAAGTCTTTCAATATGATGCAGTGTCACCTTCCACTGGGGAGAGCCCCCGGTGGGGGCAGCTTGCAGGATTTCAATGATTTATAGTACAAGCTGAAGTGTGACATTTAAGAGCACAAAACTAGGAAAACAACATGGTTAAACCCAAGACCTAAACTCCACCAGTTGAAGTGAGGCCTCCAATATAGTATAAACACCTTCCGTTCATTTTGAGATTGCCTTACAGATTAATAAAATATAGGCATGCTGGGTAACTAATTGTTCATCAGTTTCTTTTAAAAATATGCTCACTGAAACTGAATGTTGTGGATCTGTGTCCCCTTTAAGGGACCCCTGCACAATTGGGTTACAAGGGTGGGGAGGAGAAATTTATCTAAATGGAGCTAAGGGAGGAACAGGATGTGGCCGAACATGTATCCACTCCAGTTGTACCCCCCCATCCCCGGGGCGGGGTGTCATATCCTGTGCATTCCTGGAGAAGCCCTTACTTTAATCAATCATGGGATAGTAACACCCACCTTCCCACCGATGGGATTAGAACAGAACTATTTTTTTCATGATCTGCTGGGGGCATTGCGTCATCTTTTTATTTCAGGGCTGGGAGGAATTTTTCCCTCATCACCTGACTGGCCAAGTCAGAGTGTTATTTTTGTTTTGTTTTTTGCCTTGCTAGAACCTTACCATCGCCCTATCTCAAATGAGGGTTAAGGTAGGTTACAGAAAGCCATTTATCTGGTCACTGTATAATTTCCCTGTGACGTACCTGCACTGGACATCTGCCCCACACTTACATAATGAGTTGCAACATCATAGCCTAACTCCCTTCCCTACTCACCATAACAAAGCCCTCCCTAAACCTGCTGTGGGGAAGGTGAACTCCCCCGCCCCCACACTCCACCTAGGCCAATCTGGTGGTGAGGGAAAAATTCCTTCCCTGTTTCTCCTCCCCACCCCCAAAAGGAACAACTAGCCCGATGCCCACAGCAGGTCCTGACTAAACCTGGCATTTTGCCACCTCACGGGGCAAGAGGGTGGGTGCTGCTCTACCTGATCCAGAGAAAAGGGGCTTCTCCCACCAGGATTTGAACTCTCCAGACCTTTCGATCCCTGAGGATCAATCAGCATCGCCATGCTGACCCACTCCCCACTTTTGCAGCAGCTTCTAAGCCTTGCTCCCTCTCCTAGCTGGGAAGTGCTATACCTTCTCCCCCGACAAGCTGGACAACAGTCTTCCACCCCCCACTTGGAAGTAGACTGGGGAATGCCTCCCCTAAGGAAGCTGGGTTTGTGGTTTTTAACGACTGGTAGAACACACACACACACCCCTTTTTCTACCACTCCTAACCCTCATACAAGAAGAGCGCGACAGGGTCTTAAATACAGTTTGGCTGTGTGCAGGCTGGGAAGGGGGAGGTCTGATAGCTGACCTCCCAATTAGGTGGAAACAATAAAGGAAAGAATGATGATCTGCACTGTACAATTTATTGCTGGATATTCCCAGATATTTTAAGTGAATAAAATTGTGGCCCAATTAAACCACATCCATTGCATCTCATCTTTCTTCCTGCATGGCCAGGACGATAGAGAGAGTCAGGTGGCCAGATGATTTAAAATAAGGATTTAAAAATAAGGAAGTGCAACAGAATATTTTATTACATCAGATGAAAAGGAATATATAAAACCTTCGACGGTAGAGCTAAATGAATAATTCACTGTAGTCTATCCATTCATATACCTTCTTTTTAGTTCATAGATATTAAAGAACAAATCATCATTTCCTTTAATTTATTTGAACATAAATATTTTATGAATTTTTGTTGTAAATTTAGTTAACTATGAACTGATCACAACCGTTCTTTGCAAGTATTTGCTATTTGAGTTGCGCAAGTTAGTGAGTCACAATGTAAGCACAAAACAACGAGGAGTCCTTGTGGCACCTTAGAGACTAACAAGTTTATTTGGGCATAAGCTTTCGGGGGCTAAAACCCACTTCATCAGATGCATGGAGTGAAATTGTGGAGTGAATAGGACTCCTCGTGGTTTTTGCTGATACAGACGAACACGGCTACCGCTCTGAAACCTGTCACAATGTAAGCACAAAGGATTGTGGGATTCAGGTTACAGAAAGAGAGACCTTTTCTTTCAACAGCATCATCTTTTTCTTGCAGTAAGTGCTGGAGAGCTGATAGCCATTTTCAAAACTCACTAGTGATTTAGGATGCCTCAATTTTTGGCTCTCTAACTTTCAGGCATTAAGGCAGGGGTGGGCAAACTCTTTGGGCCGAGGGCCACATCTGGGTCGGGAAATTGTATGCAGGGCCAGGGCAGGGTGTTGGGGTGTTGGAGGGAGTGCAGGGTGTGGGAGGGGGTGCGGTGTGCAGGAAGAGGCTCAGGGCAAGGGATTGGGGCAAAGGAGGGGTGTGGGGTGTATGAGGGGGCTCAGGGAAGGGGGTTGGGGTGCAGGAGGGGTGCAGTAGGGGTGTGGCAGGGAGCTCAAGGCAGGGGGTTGGGTTGCACGGGGGTGCAGGGTACAGCAGGAGCTCAGGGCAGGGGGTTGGGGTGCAGGAGGGTCGTGGGGTGTATGATGGGGTTCAGGGCATGGAGTTGGGGTGCAGGAGGGGTGCGAGGTGCAGGCAGGGGGCTTAGGGCAAGGAGTTGGGGGGCAGGAGCCAGGCAGGGTTCGGGCTCTGGAGTGGTAGCGGTGTGCACCAGGGCCAGGGCAGGCTCCCTGCATGCCTGCCCTGGCCCCGCGCTGCTCCAGGAAGCGCTGCAGCCTCTGGGGGCAGGGAGGGGGGGCAGAGGGCTCCGCGTGCGCTGCCCTTGCCACGCCTCCAGGTACCTCCCCCAAAGCTCTCATTGGTTGCAGTTCCCCATTCCTGGCCAATGGGAGCTGCAGGGGGCGGTGCCTGGAGACAAGAGCAACGCATGGAGCCCTCTGCCCCCACACCCGGGGGCCGCAGGGACATGGTGCCGGCCGCTTCTGAGAGCGGCACGGGGTCTGCAGAGCCACAGGGGGCAATTCCACAGGCCGGGTCCAAAGCCCTGAGGGGCCGGATCCAGCCCGTGGGCCGTAGTTTGCTCACCCCTGCATTAAGGGGTCTAATATCCAAGAAGTACTGAGTACCAACCATCTGAAAATCATGCCCCTTTAAAATGCCTCAAAATTGCAAGTCACATATACAAAAATATTGTCCATCAACAAATAAAATTCTTATTAACTAACAGCAACCACAGAAAAAATTGACAAACGTTTTTTAAAAAACTCATGAGTTGACTTTATAAAAAACATATATTGAGTTGACTTTATTCATGTTTTAAAATTACTGTAGAAAATATCAGGATCTTCTGGATCAGCAATATTAATTTATTTTGTGCATTTAAATAAATATGTTTTCTCCTCCCTGAAGCCTATAAGCTATACTTCAAGAGCCAAGCTTGATACTGAAAAATGCCTCCATTATTTTTTAGTTTACTTTATTGATACCAGGAAAATTAATATAAAAGAGTTTGAATTTGAATTTAAATGGATTTTCATCATTGAAAACCCAGCACTGTTTAGGTCTCAGGAAAAACAAACAAAAAAAAATGTTTTGTTCATATTAAACTATAATGGACACACAAAAAGTTGTATAATCTTACATAATTCAGCTGAATATCTCAGAGAATCAGAAAACTGGTTTGCATACAGAACAGACCCAAACCTCTGAAGATGCACTTCTCTTACTTTTTCACCTGGCAACTTTTACAACTCCTTGGGACCAGGAGAAGTAGCAAAATATAAAGCTAGTCAAATTTTTCAGATTTCAAAATGTAAACATAATTTCAAATTATTTTCAGTGATATTTTTGTGATTTCCCCCCTCCTTTTTTGGACTAGCTCTACCAAAGTACCCTAAGAAATACTGTTGAACAGCCTAACCTGATTGGAAGCAGCAAATTTTGTAAGAAAGGCCAATTCTGCAGACCCAAGATTTCTAGAGAATCAGCCAAACACTTAGGTGTTTATCCCCTCTAAACATTTTGAAGTTTGTCAGTCACTAATCTTAATCCGCTCTTTGTGAAATTATGAAACTCCCATCCCCAAGCAAATATAGTGTCTTAAACAAATATGTGGATTTGTAGTCAGTGTAGACTTCCATCCAAACAATAGTAAAAACGAGTGACCAAAACAACAATAAAACATCATTGTCATCAATCTGTGCTAATTAGAGTTCAATTATGAATAGTTAACACATGTAACCTTACCTCAGGTACTGCTTCATAGCACTAGTAATCGTCTTCACTTCCCAATCTACAGAGTTTTCCAGATCAATTTCACTGCAGGTTTTTGCATCTAACAAATGACCATAAAGGAAAAAAAAATCTAAATCTGTACATACATAAAAGATTTTATCAAAGTTAAATTAATGGCAGAATGTGTGTATCTGTGAAATCAGACAACAATATTATAATAATCCTAAAGGAAACAACAAAATGCAAGATTCCTGAATGGAAGTATATCAAATTTGAAGTCAATAATTTAGAAACTTTTGTTAGTTTAAATCCAAAATTGTCCTCTACCTCTTAATATTAAAATGGAAGTAGGATTTAAAACTAAAATACGTCTATCTCGTTGAAAAATTTACAAGTGCTTTTAAAACTATTTCACTGATTTTTCTCTCCTTAGTGATCAATACAATTAAACTAGACTTGATTTGAAATTTCTTTATTGAAGGTTTTTTTTTCCCCAGACTCCCTTATTTAGAAGAGGCAGGGAGTTTTCCATATGGGGATATTCATGAAAAGATGCAGATCAAACTCACTTTAAAGAAAAAGCCACTGAGGAACAAATAAAATGATAGCCAATTACCCAAGATGTTTTGTGTCTTTAAGTACTTCAACTTTTTTTGATTACAGTCACTGTCAGCAACATGTCATAAACTATAACAATGGTAATTAACATTTTAATCAGTTCCTACAATTCAGAATTCATTTGTTACTGTGCTTGTTGGACAAACGACAGTTACATTTAAAAAATCAAATTAGGCACCCTGATTAAAGGTGCAGTCCTTTCTAACTGGGACTAAATAATTATGTTCTAAAGGCTGTGCCAACCAATTATTTCTGTAACTGAATATTCTCTCTCATTAAATCAATTATTTAAATCTTATTTTAAAATACCAGTCAGATAATATTTTCTGTCAACTTGCTACCAGCCAACCACCATCCAAAAACCTGAAGACTGTCTAAAATGGAACCTTTTATTTTCTTCTTTCCAACGTATTCCTGTGCTCTGAGAATCACATTCTTTCCACTGAGAAGGAAATCTTTCTACTCACTTCATGGAATAAAAAGCAGCTGTCACATCAGAAACTAATGACTCTAGTGACTATGTTAGTAATCCACTATTAAATTTTCACTGTTTTCAAATAACTCCTCAATCATCACTGACTCTCCTTCACAATCAGAGGGTTCACTTGGTTGTGTGGAATTTGTTAATGACATATTTGAAATTCATACTTCAGAAAATACTGTGAATAATCATCCTTAAAATATTAGAAAGTATTTTCGCTTTTTAAAAATAGTAAAATTTGTGGGAGAGGATTCCATTATTCACTCCTGGGGCAAAACACTAGAACTTCTCAAAGATTACCCTCCTGTTAGCCCCACCCCAAAAAACTAGCCCTGAGACTACAAAAAGAAAAAGAGATCAAACACTTTTCTTGACTCTCTGGTTCTGCCTGTTGTCTTTTATTTAAACAGTTCCCTCTATTCTACTTTACTGCTACATTCCACTGTGTCCTAAACATTTAAGAATCACATTTGCTAAGGGGACTCAATAGGATTTCGGCATTCATACTAGCAATTTTGCACACACAGCTATTTGTGCATGCAAAAACTAAATGTACACACAAGAATGGCAGCTGCAGATGCAAATATTTGTGTGCACACAAATAAAGGTGTGCAGATTTAAAGACTTTTTGAAAATTCAGCTCTAAATCTCCTAAAATTTCTGATATTATGGAAATAGGGTTTATAAAAGCCATGAGGCTCATTGAGATAGGTTAGGAGGAGGAGCTTTGTTTCTAGTTTTGATTTTAATATGGCCACTGTGGGAGTTTAAATGTATTATAATATACTGTATATAAAATAGGGTAAACAATGGATTCAGAGCAGTAACTTTCACAGCTGTTTTAAAATGTAGGTGGATTTGCAAAACTCTTTTCTATGAAATATGATGCCTGGCATTTTTCATGACAGCAACTGTCAGAAGTCAAAACTGAACCCATCAATAAAATATACAAGACTTTAACGGTCATCTCATCATAAAGTCACTTTATAAAAACATGTTTCTTTGTAGATTGTTGCACTTAAATAACACACTATTTATTCTGTGAATAGGTGTAAGGTCCCTTCTTCTCTAGGATTTTAAGAGGAGCTGTGAATTTATGGTCCCCTTTGCGTAAAATTCCAGCTTTTCGTATTCTAACAAAGGAACCACACTCAAACTTTGGTTCCTTAGCACCCTGCCACTTGTCTGTGAAAGCCTTATACTTTGCTTGGTTCTGTTCAACTGTTTTTCTCACATCATCCTTGGTTGGGGCCTCAGGTCATGCCTTTATCAATCCAGCAATGTTCAGTTTAGTATTCATCTGTTTTCCATGCAGTAACTCTGCGGGTGATCTTTGTGTTGTGGCATATCGTGTAGCCCGGTATGCTTGCAAGAAATCAGTAGTGAAGGGTATCCACAATCGCCCTTCCAGTTGAGCCATTTGCAAACTCTCTTTCAAACTTCTGTTAAACCATTCGATTTCCCCATTGGCTTGAGGGTAATGTAGGGATGACCTCCTGTGTAAAATGTTCTTCTCTGCTAGAAAAGTTTCAAATTCCAGGGAAGTAAATTGACTACCATTATCTGAAACCAGTTCTTTGGCATTACCTTCCCTGCTAAAAACTGAAGAGAGGAACTTAATTACTGCAGCAGAAGAGATTTGCGATGTAAAACGCTACCTCAGGCCATTTACTGAAATAGTCTACTAAAGTGATGGCATAACGACAGTCAATTGGAGCAGTATCAAAGGGTCCTACAGAGTCAATTGCCACTTTTTCCCATGCAGATTCAGGAAGAGGAACAGGCTGTAATGGAGGGGTACATGTCACTGCTGTCTTATCATGCATTTGGCAAGTGACACAGGATTTTATGAGTGCTTCAGTTTGAGAGTCCATCCCTGGCCACCAATACAGATTCCGTAGTCGTTGTTTGGTTCTGACAATTCCTTGATGAGTTTTGAATGTAATTCTTCTGGCACAAGTAGCTGGTGTATACCTCATAGCACACAGCCATCGAGCAAAGAAAGTTCATCACAAACTCTAAAATAAGGCAGCAAAACTGGGTCAAGGTTTTTAGGGTTACTGGGCCATCTCTTTGTCACAAATTCCCGTAGTTTTTGTTGAATTGGACACGCTGAACAAGCAGCTTGAAATTGTTCTCTTGTAACTGCACTAAGAGTGATTGTAATAAGCGCAACTACTACATCCTCATCCTCCGGTGGATCATCTGGTGAAGGCAAAGGCAGGCGAGAAAGGCAATCAGCTATCACATTTTTGTTTCCAGGCTTATATTCCAGTTCATAAATGAAAGAGTA